TTACTAACTCTCACAAATTTATAATAAGTAACATGATTTTGGCTCCTGCTTCAAGGCATTAGATGAAAAGCTCTAGTCTTCCCATGACTTACGAGAAACAAAATCAGAGAAAGACTTTTCCCTACTGGTGCTTTGTAATCCAGGGGAATGTACAAGTTTATAAACCGTGAACTCATCCACCTCTTTTGCTGTTAATGGGCCCTTCACAACCCTTATTCTGAACCCAAAACGTCATACTGTTACCTTGGGGAATAAGAGAGGGGGAGTGGGAGGAGAGAATTACTATCATTCACCCATTTCACAGATGAGCAACTTGCATAAAATCTGTTCTGGCATTTCTGGTAATTGAACCCATGTCTCCAATCTGATGAACCCAGGTCTGATCCACTTTGTCACATAATCTTACGGAAAAAAATTAAATTAGGTGTTTCTGAGACCCGCACTTAACCCCCTCTGGTTCTGTCACCTCTGGTGGAGAGGCCACGTGTTAAGAATTAATGATTCTGCTATTGCTTCAATGCTAAAAAAGTCTAGTTTATTAGCCTGAGGCTCATGCTTTTTAAATCCGGAGGCCCCATGCTCAGTCCCAGCAGAAGACCCAAACAGAGGGGTTGTTATATTTGGTTATGCTGCTTATAGCCAATAGATCTGAAGGCTGTTTATCAAACCCTGCTGGTGACCCATGTGGGGATGAAAAAATATACACACACACATGCATAAAAGTTAATGTGAGGAGCCTGAAGTAATTGTTGGAATGATTTCATATTGCAAAAAGTATTTAGAAGTGAATTTGGGTGGTGTGCTAATATTTTTCTTGTTGTGTTTTTAGTGTTTATATTTTGGGTAATGGGAGCTATCCCTTTAAGAGCAGGAGGTGGCAACTTATTATAGAGTGTTTGAGACTGAGTGCAATGTAAGGGAGAAATTTTGCCTATCTCCAGAGAATGGAAGAACCTGCCTGTGTAAGCTCCAAAAAGGTCAGCATGTGATTTAATAAGCTTATCTTACCAGAAAGCAAGCCTCATTCTCTAAGGTGTGGTGTTAGCATTTACTGGGCACTTTCTGGCCTCAGGACATTGCTAATGAGATATAAAGCTTTTCACCTGTAGTTCACTAGTTTGAATCAGGTTCAGCTCAGCAGAGATTAACAGTTACTCCCATCTAATGGAAGTTTCATACCACTAAACGATTTGAGTTGCCTGGTCCTAGTGCCAGCTCCCACGTGACAAATTCATCACCATGCTTTGCACTAGATTGTATGTTCTTTCAGGCAGGGACTACCTCTTGCTATGTGTTCTACAGGGTCTAGCACAATAGGACCCTGGTTTTGTTTGGGTCTTCTAATGAGAGGTCCCGCAGCAGGGGCCAGAATTGGATTACTCTTGATAAACTTGTGAAAGAAGACAACACTGTAATTGTGTCTCTCACATTGGAGACAGAGAGGATGATTTTAAAAAAAATCAGAAATCTATGATTTAACCTTTGGCTCAAAAATTGAGATGATGGTGGCAGTTTGTTTTTGTTACCTCATAGTCTTTGAGGTCTGATTTATTATTTTTGAACTCTGGGGATGGCAGTACTACATTCCAGAAAATAAGGCTGTGTCTGCGTTAGTTGCTCTACTAGCATCAAAGCTAAATGAGACTCATAAAAGTGGCAAATTTACAGCCAATTTACTTAGCTTCCCTACTTTCCAGTATTGTTGTACCCAGTCTAGTATTAAGCAGCTGGTGTGCTGTAACTGCTGTGATCATTGCTTATTCTGCTGTTCATAACTATCTTACTGTTCCCTTGTGCTCCTCCCATCTGTTTGTTTTATCCACCTGTTGAGTCGTCTTGTTTTAAATTTAGATTGTGATCATCTTGTGGCAAGACACCTCCTAGCATTTCTCCCTCTGGCAGTGCTAGGGGCTGTCGTAAATAAGCCCCACTCTGTACAGTGGGCGTCTTCCTCCTCTGTTGTTCTCTTGTCAGTATTTTCAAGGTAGGCCTCAGGGCAGGCACAAGGAGTGCTCCTCCAGCAAACAAAAAGAAACCAATTTTCAAACACAAAACAAAGGGGGACATTTTCCCTGTCCCCTCGCTGGGGGGTGCAGTGTTGTTGGCCTGTTAGCTGAGGTGTCGGTCCTTCCCCTAAACAGGGCACTCAGTTTTGGTTGTTTCCCCTATCGGAAGGAGAACTGCCTCTCACCCCAGAGAAGCCTATATCCCTGCTGCCACTAGCCCTGCAGCAGCTTGTCTCTCCTCTCCTTCTCTGGCCAAAGGAAGGGTTTTTAAAGGTCTCAGGCAGCCCTTTACTGGGTTCAGATGTCCCTATTTGTCCTGAGGTGTAACCCCTTTCCAGCTTATAGGAAAAAGGGCCTTTATCATTCTAAGGCTAACATATCTGCCTTCCACCACTCTCTTGCACCCCTACCCGTGAGCCCTTCCCCCCAGCCATCATACCTGGAGCCGGCTGTGCGATCTGCAGTCAGTTCGCTTTCAAACCATGCCAAAGGCACATACGTACACACTCATGCTCCATACTCTCCATTTCCTCACCCTCGTGTCCCGCCCCAATACTAAGTGGCGGGACCTATTGCCATCTGTTGAGGGTAAGGAACCCCAGTGGGCCAGTCTGTATTCCAGTTGGTGCCTCTCTCTTGGAGCTGTGAGCACAGGCATATACCTGGTGCGGTTCACCTCTATACCTGATGCCTGTTCCTTTTGCTGCGTGAGGGAGACCCAGGCATACGTCTACCTTGAGTGTGTCTGGTTGCCGCCCCTTTTCCGGCTACTCCTGGACCTGCTTTTGCAGTTCTGGCAGCACTTCTCCCCCAACCTTCTAATTTATGCACACCCCATCCATGACCCCATGAAATTGTGAGACCACCTCGTCAACCTCCTCCTAACGATGGCCAAAGTGGTCATTCATAACACCTGGAAGCGCATGTTGGCCGAGGGCGTGCTCTGTGGGGCCTATTTCCATTCCTCTCTCCATTCACCTATCCGGGCAGAGTTCCTCTGGGCCGCATCTGCTGGCTTCCTTGACACCTTTGAGGAGCAGTGGGTGCAGTCCGGAGTTCTCTGCTCGGTGTCCCGTTCAGGTTCCGTACTTTTGACCCTTTGACCTTCACACCTGTACTTGTTTTCTCTTTTGTTGTCCCCCGTATTTATGTGAGTCCCAGGGTCAGGAGCTCCCCCCCTTAGGCTGGGGGAGGAGCCGTTAGCTATGGGCAGGCTTGCACTCGTCCACTTCCTGGAATCAAACAGGACCACTCTCTTGCAGTTGCCTAGTCTGACTTTGTCCCAATCTGATTTGGACAGGAACTGTTTCTGTTCTGTTTGTATGGTGCCTACTACAGAGCCTTAGGCTCTAGGCAACCAGAATACCAATAATAAGTAGTAGTAAACTGTGGAAGGAGGGAATATGTTTTTTCAGTGTTTGGACTATAACCTGACAGCAAACAGTTTTGATCATCTGCTAAAACATTGAATGACTCACTCACATCTCTAGATATGTTAACGAGTATTGGAACATCGATATGAAGCTAACCTTTCTATGATTAGGTTCCTAGTACCTGTTAGTTTGGGACACCTTCCTGCAAATCACTCCTTAAAATTTGTTTCTCCTAGAAATCTTTCCTGTCTTTTTCTTCTCATCAGTATCACACCCTTGGCTATCTCCAATGATTTAAGTTTTGTTATGAGGTTCTTTCATTATAATCTCTCAGGAGGAGGTTCAGTGCCTTAGTCTAGACTTTGGAGAGAATACTGCTTCCACAGTATGGAGAAGTAGACTAACACTACTCCGCCAGTGGAACTTATGTGGGTTGACATGGAGAGGCATGAGGAGATGCATATATCTGAAGTAATTAGGGATATGCTTTCTGACCACAATGATGCAAGCACATAGAATATAGCATGGTAGGACCTTTTGGCTGGGAGCACAGTATCACTATAATAATTCATGCGTCAGTTGATGTAGTTCCAGGCTACTACCTTGAAATCCAAATTCATCTCTGCATTTTATGTGGGAAGAGGTCACGTGTATAAAAATATTTTTCTCTATATAAAAGACTGCTTCTTTTGGGTTGGATCTAATAACAATGTCCATATCTTCAAATACCTTGTGTAAGGCAGAGACTATATTTCAGACAAAGACCTCAGAGACTAGAAAATGTGCTTCACAGTGGTTCCTAATAATGTTTCATCCATGAAATGGGACAGAAATATAGCCACTGAAATAAAGAATGTTGTTTTGTGCAAGTTAAATTTTTCCTGAAAAAGTAAGCTAGGCTATTTTATTTATACCTCACAAATTGTGTGCTAGCCATCACCAAAAAGGTGGGAAAGATGCAAGGGAGTTTTCTAATTTAACATACAATATACTAGTATAGGAGATGAATGGGGAATCAAAAAGAAGAAAGGACAAATGAATAGACAGTGATGTTTATTGCATCTTATTAACTTCCATTGAGTTTTTTAGTTTTTTTATAGTCTGTTTTATTAAGAACTCTTGTTTGAATGGAGAAATACTGGTTATAAACTATTGTAGACAATGTATTTTTAGCTGGCATGGATCTATTATTTTATTGAACTGGCAATTTCTCTTTGATTATATAGGATTAGTCTTTCATGCAAGTAATGCCACAATCAGGTTAGAATTAAAAAAACAAAGCAAAACCCTTCTGTATAGTGTTCCGTCCAACTGGTATAACTTTGATGGCTTGGTTATTGTTAGCCCATATTAGATTTTCATTGCCTAACATTTGATGTTTCTGTGTCTCTGTAAAAACTGTGATTAGTTTTTCATTGAAAAGGAAACATTATCACATCAGGAATTTTGGTTCTACATAATATAATTCTGAAAAGTTTGTGTTATTTGCAGATGCTAACTTTCGTGTAGTTAACACAGTACTCAATCTACTGCAGGAAATGCAATCCCTTGAAAATGCTGCTGTCACAAAGAGCAGGTACATATAGTACATTTAAAAGGTGGTGTTTTTTGTTTCTTCCAGAAGGTCCTCGGCCATCACAGAAAGAAATCATATCACTACGAGCATTTATGCTTCTGTTTTTGAAACAGCTTATATTGAAGGTAAAATAATCTTATTTGAGAATGTTAGCAATTTGATAAATGTAACAAACTTGAAGGTCCAAGGTAGATATTGAGTAGTTTCTAATGAAGCACTAGATACATAATTCCTGGCAATTATTTTGTCTAAACCTTATTAATATTATTAATTGGTCTGTGCCAATAATTCTTCTTAACCCCCCCCCCAAAAAAAAACCAAAACAAAACAACCCATACCTACAATGAATGAACTTTTAGGATATTTCATATCAGTCATACTACATTGCTTTTATATCTGTTTCAACACATTTATTTTTAGACCAAAAAGGTACAGACTCCTAACCTGCTCTATAGAGTCCTTTAAAGCATTTGGGCCAGATTCTCTACTCTGGGGCACTGTGGTAGAGATCTAATTGGTACAAGAAGGGGAGAGGTCAGTCAGGAAGTTACTTACAGCTTCTTGATTCTGTCTGGCCCTGGTGCAGTTTAGAGTAGTCTTTGAGCTGCTCTTGTGTGTCCCAGATGACACATTGTAAGCAGTGGATCATCTGTCATTTGAGAATAACCAGGGTGCAAGGTTCAGTGTGTTCTGCCTAGGGTTACCATTCGTCCAGATTTACCCGGACATGTCCTGCTTTTTGTGTTAAAAATAGCGTCCGGGGGAGAATTTGTAAATCACTAAAAATGTCCGGGATTTCCCCCCCCATGCAGAGCTGGGAGGGCTGCAGGAAATTCAGCCGCTCGCATGGGGCTCTGGCAGCCAGAGCCCTTCCCCCGCAGCTTGCCGGGCTGGACTCCGGAGCAGCTGTAGAGCTGCTCCTCCCCGCCTCCCCCTCCCCCTCATTCTGAACCGGCCAGCCTGCCGGGCCGTTTGCATCGGGCCTCGGCCGCTCCTCCTCCCCTGTTGCCCAGCGCCCCGCTCCGGCAGCACTGGGTGGGGTGGGACCGGGTTGTGTGTTGCGCTGGGGAGCGCAGCCACGTGTCCGGCTCCGCACAGAGCCCAACACCATGTTCTGAGCGGCAGGGCAAGGGGGCCAGGGGGCAGGAGAAGGGGCAGGGAGATTTTGGAGGGGGCAGTCAAGAGACGAGGGGGGGGTCGGGAGTTCGGGGGGGGTGGAGAAGGTTTTGGGCAGTCAGGGTACAGGTAGGGGGTAGGGTCCTGGGGGGCAGTTAGGGTGGGGGGTCTTAGGAGGGGGCAGTTAGGGGACAAGGAACAGGGAAGCTTAGGTAGGGGGTGGGGTTCTGGAGGGCAGTTAGGAGCAGGGGTCCCAGGAGGGGGCAGTCAGGGGACA